GCTGATTGGTCCATTTCCATCCGTCTCACATTCTCCAAATTTCTCAAACGCTTCACCACAGATACAAGCAAATTATAGTTACTTCATGCAACGTTGACTGCTGACGTTGAAGTGACACAATTAGTGTCCACTGTGGGTTGACAATTAAAATTAGCCGAAACGATTGCTGTACTTGCTGTCGAAGCGGCGAGGAGGATTGCTGAGGTACCTTATTCAATGATGCGTGGTCTGGCGTGTCTGTTTCGCATCTGGAACACAAATGGCGTGCGAGTAAGGTGGGAGGAGTCGCTAGCGGTGTGAGGGGCTGTATCTTGGCGCAAAAATTAACTTGATGTGATAGAACTAAATTATGTATTTAAGTTAATGGAAATGGTGTCCTAGTGACGCTCAGGCAAGACTTCTTGGCTAAAACATAAGTTGTTGTGGAATGTACCAGGTAAGGCTAGACAAACAATATTATTTTGGCACGGGCAAGTTGTCAGTTGTAGTAATTTTTATTGTTCTTTTATTTTCTTTAAAGATAATGCTTTTGAGGGTTTAATAGCAATGTCCGTGACCCTGATGGGAGAAGCTCTGGATTGGGATTGTAGCAAAGTTATACCAAATATTGTTGAAGCGGTCAAAGAGATACAAAAAGATAATTGTTGGATCCGGTAATTCTAAAAAGACGTAGTTTTTGGTAATCGAATTCCATTGTTGTTTCTGCGGAATCACTACCATGGCAAGGTCTAAGAATCCAGATAACAGAGCGCGGGGAACGAAGGGGGCAAAGAAAACGTTTAAGAAGCTGTCGAAGCGATTAAGTACAGGCGGAAAGCTGGTAGCTCCGACTGGCAACGTGAGTCTAGAAGGTGTGGAGAAAGCTGAGCAAGCAGCTCGCATTCAACGCTCAGAGAACACTCGGAAGCGCAAAGCAGTGGCACAGAATTGACCCGATCGTTTAAAAAGGCCAGAAAAGAAATCAAGATAGAGCAACGAGACCGAGATCAAGACACGGACGCTCATGTTACGGGCTTCAAGCTCACAGGGATCTTGCTGGATGTTTGACCGTTTTGTATATGAAATTATCCTAGATTTCTTCGATTGCATTGACAGCCCGTTGGTTCGGATTTGTGGAAGCTGCGGTGAGTTGTCAAAGCTTCTCGGATGTCAAGAAGCGATACGAGCCTAGCGAAAACTATTTTGCTCCATTGAAAAATACCGATGGTGTGTGTGAAACAATTACTGAAGCAACCACAAAACCAGATTCTGATGGTGTGTCCTTCATTTGGATATGCAATCGCTTCCACACTTCATTAACAAAAAAAGAGATTCCTAAGTTTTGCCGTGCAAGTAACTTTCGTGTAGCGCATGTGCCCCCGAACTATCTGCTCTAAACTGAACCGAGGCCAGGCGTTGGCGTCTGTGTTACATGCATGAACCTCTACAAAGACCAGCAGGAATTTATATGGGGAACTCTGTAAATTATTGGAATAATATTCATGAAGCGACTCTTTCATTACCTCGGTCTTTGTCGAAATGCGGGGTAGTGCTCTTAATCCCTCCAAACCGGAAACCAAAAACCACACTTAAACTGCATATGCAGATTTACTAAAACTTAGTAATTGTATATAAAGAGATAGGTGTTGCTCGCTCATAATAAATTGGAATTTGCAAAACTGTGCAGAGCAGCGATTAAACTGCACAAACCTGCATATTGGTAGTTTTCCTACGTTCTCGGGAGTTGTCCTGACTATTTTCGCTTGATACTGCATAATGCACTTTACATGTGCATTATGCAGTATAAAGCGTAAATAGTCAGACAACTCCCGAAAACGTAGGAACAGAACCAGCCCGATCTACAGCTCTCATTTTCAACATTTTGAAAACTATAACTTCCCATACAAATCCCAATAAACAAAATTGGGGTGTCACCCCTATCCAGTAACACATGCAAATGACACGAGCCTGTGTGTTTTCTGGTCTATACAAATTCGAAGAGTGCGAAATATGTGGACACCACAGCTGCTTGAACCCGCCTCGACTGGAGCAGAAACATGAGCCTTGTGATGCACTTTGAGATGAGCTAGCACGAGAACAGACATTCGATGCTACACAGCTGTGGATCAAAGCTTACGCAGTTTGACTTATCCTGGATATTACGCACCTTAAAGACAGAAATAATGCAGGGTAGAAGTTACGTTGTTGTCCGTCGCCTCTTGGAAGATGCTGGCGTTGCAGGAGTACCCAGAGTCGATGGAATACAAGGTGCTTTAGCCGGCTTCTGACGCATACGAATCTCTTTGCCATTTTCGAACGGGATCAGCTTTCCGTTTATCTACTCCTTGTGACACACATCCCAACATGTCATGGCGACCCCACGCACTTGTCGATGAGCCCGCATGCAGAGGTAGACTGGCCCTTTGTCGCCACAGTCACCACAATAGTATGTAGTTGTTGATGCTCGCTGGGTATCTGTTTGTGTTCCTTCGTTTCTCCACTCATCTGCGTGACGGGAAGCATGCGCAGTTGACTGGGTTACACCGACAGGGACCGGTACGTATGCAGGCCTGGCTTGAGGTGGCTGGGTGCCGAATGTGTTGGAGTCATACATATCTGTTGCTTGTAGGCGACACAGCTGAAGATGTAGTTTCTTCATGTGCTTCACGTGGGCTAGTGGTCGTGACTGCTTGTTCTTGTGAAAGGCCTTATGTACTATGTATCCATTTACAATAGCCAAGTCGATGAACCCCAGTGCCAGCGACTATAGTATTTTCGAAAACGGAGTGCACGCTGGAGGGAATAACGCTGCAATCTCAGCTGGTCGTGGACATCCACCCATGTACGCGTGATAATCTTTTACGACTCTGGGGCATGGCACCTCCTCTTGCGTGGGACCGTTCTGTCGCACCACCCGATCCAGTTCAAGGCTTCCTCCCGTCCTGAGAAATGCACAGGCACCAACACACTGCTGACATATTTGGTACTAACTTAAAAGTAGCCACTTTGAATGACCCGCGCGTAATCATAGGTGGACAGGTCTTCTTCTTCTCGACGACACCTTTGCAGTATCCCAAGCGATTGGTTATGATTGTTTCCACGCAGTAAAACCCCATGAGCAGCAGCTGAATAGCTAAATCCACAGAAGTATAGAATCGGTCGATGACGACTAGGCGCGCTTTCTAGCATCCGGGCCAAATGCAGCAAGCAGGTTTCGGACAACAGCAGCAGGGCCTGACCTCATGTCGGGCTTGTGGGCGTCGCTAGCGTGCTGTTTCTTGCCGCAATATACTTCAAACCTGCATATGTGCAGCACAAAAGACACCAAAAATGTTAGACAAAACTGCATAACGCACGATAGTAAAAAGCCGCTTAAAAAATCGGACCTGATGCAGTACCCTGTGACTGCGCTGCATAACGTAAAGATATTGGTGCCCCACTAGTGGGGCTTGTCCTTTATGTAAACGCGCATTTTATTGAAGGACAATCGACTGGGTAAGCCTGCTTCGTCGAACGCCTAGTGTGATGGCGCAACGTATCCACGAAGAAAGGTGCGCTGCAGGACTTCTACCAACTTGCGGATCTTCCAGGCACGGTCTATTTGAGCTCTGGTGTCGTTGTGCGAGTTGAAATGAAGATTGCGTGAAATCTCCATGAATCGGTCTCTAGACAGCACTGAGCCAAAGTACTCTCGTGAAATAGCGCCCTCATCCGTTGTCTTCCAGTGATTAGCAAGTTTTTCTCAATCGTCCTAGCCACCAATAGCACAACAAACTGACACAGTTCGTGTGGTAAGACAGACTTCATGCCTTCCAACTCGTGCTGAATATCTCGCCTTGTCTTTCATGGTAACTGTTGGTTCAACCTCCGCTTCCGGCGCTATCGCTAAATGTTTCGTCAATTCGACGTGGAAGCATCTCCCGGTGATACTCCGTCGAGCAAGCAGCAATGTGCTACCACAGTACGACAGGAAGATAGTAAAAGAAGAGTCCAATTGGAGAGTCTCCTCTGCGCAAAGCGTCTGCAGATGGACCCGAGTATCCTTGGCGAAGACCAGGATAGCTTGACGTATTGTTGACCGGGCCGTACGGGCCGTGCATGTACTCAGTAGTATCAGGTTCATCAATATCTTCCCAACCTTTGACGGACATCTCACACAGAACAGCGTTCTTGAGGTTTCCAGCGAGAACTTCATCCTCACCACCAAAACTATTCAGAAAATTATCAGCGAAAAGAACCTCTGCCGTGATTTCGTCTTCTGTCGCGACCGGATCATCACCAATGGCGTCAGCTGCACAATAAATTTTCACCTCTTCATCCGATACGCACTCTCCAGTCTCCATATCATCGGCCTCCGAATCCAACTTTCCAACCAGATGTTCAATCGCATGATTACCAACCACGTTCAAATCATCAATGCTGTCGGCTAGCAACTCACTACCAAGAGCAGAATCTTCTCCGTCTTCATCTGCATCATCTAAAGAACAACACATAACTATGTGTTAGTATTCAGTTTAACATACATCAAACTATGCGGTATATAATGCAGCGTAGTATGCAGCACAGAATGCAGTACATTGTACTGCATGTTATGCAGCATAGCATGCAGTGTACAATGCAGCATACCGTTTCTGGTTGGAGTTCCTGCTGGATGCGTGGAGTCGCCGTCGCTGATATTATCAGATCCATCTGCTTCTTCGGACGAATAATGGCATCTTGAACGTGTGGTGGCGTCGGGATGAGCGGAGACCTTGGCTGGGTACCTCCAGCTGGTGAGTTTGCCACAGGACTTGCGGTATTTATCAAAGAGCGACGCGTCGGCGCTCGCTATACTGGCGACTTTGGCCTGGTAGCAGATGTACTTGCGGGAACCAGAGGCACAACGTTAGTTGCCTGGTCGGCGGGGACTGGTTGAGCGGTAGTCGGAGCTCGGGCTCTTGCTTCTGCAGCTTCGATATCAGCAGCGTAGGTTTCACGTACGACATCTGCTGCAGCAAGTTGATCACCTCCAGGAGCACTGGGTTGGACGCCTACTGCACGGCATCGCAGTTCTACAAACAACAAGGCAGGTATTAGACATAGATACGGGCTATTCAATTGAGATGAATACACACACCTTCTGCGTAATGCTCCAATACTGTTTGTTCGCCACGGAAGTAGTCGACGCCTTCGCTCCCCTTCACCTTCTTACCGGGAGGCATGCAGAAGTAGCGGTCATCGAGACTGCGGCCGGGAGGTGGCTTTCGCGTCCACCCGTCCTTCTTCAGCTCTCGCCACACCGACTTGAAAGATAAGTCGCGTGCGATAACTTCGCAGTCTCGCGGCACTTTGACTTGGACTCTCACCATCCTCCTGTGCTTTCGGCCCTCGGGGCGCAAAAATCTCGAATGAGAGGCATTTGGAAAAGGCGGCGATCGTCGTTGGCTGTGCGCCACTCACTGGGTGGGATCAGCTTGTTACCTCCGGTAGGCTATACAAATCATCTAGATTACGAAAGTATCTCAAAAACCTCGCAAAATCGGTCCTGAGATTTAGACAAATGTAGCCCCGTCTTACCTCTTGAGAAAAAAACCCACACAGAAACAGGCATTCTGGTTTTCTTTAATTTTGTATGCCACGTGGGGAGGGAAAAGACAAGCCTTACAAACGTTAAGTCTAAAATTCCTTAAACTGCGTATATTCAGTTTAAGGAAAATGGTAATCCTGCATTATTCAGCACCCGGTTTCGAGGCGTTAAGATCCAGTACTAGTGGAGGGGAAGTCTTTATCTAAGTTCGGCCTGATGTAGTTAGAACTGCATTGCAGTGGCTGATTGTAGAGAACCCTCTCTACAAAAATGTCACTATATCAGAGGAGTATTTGGCACAACTAGCAAGTTCAGACCCTGATGCGTCAATGACTAGCATTGAACTCACACAGGAAGAAGAAAATGAGCTTTGGATGATGCGAGATCAACAAGGTCGACCATCTGAGGGTGCGGCCTACAATGAAAATGGCCTCCAGTTATAAACCAAACTGGTAAGGTGGCCGACGATAGTCGGGAAAGAAATTCCACTGAAGAACATTTTGACGGCGAGAAATCGATTGAGCTACAAGCTTATCAATCCAACACGCAAACCGAAGCAAAAACAATATTATTGCGGCGAATAGTGTAGCAGGAAAAACAATATACCCCGTGGGCGAGTTAATACGTTGGGAGAATCGAATTAATGAATACACCACGACAATGTTAATGCAGAACTGTTTTCCTACCATTTTTTCAAACGGAGAAGGGGGAATGCATCCTTTGGTCGATGTAGAAAATCGAACGCACGAATACAAACTCGCATAATACTGTGCCCTCACCATGAAATGGCAGGATCGGAGTTTTGTAACACACTGTAACATAAAGTTTTTCTGCTTGAACCTCATTCAACGTAGACAGATAGACGGCCTGGTTCGCATGGTTGGTCCTGCCCAAATAATGACAGACCGAGATGTACATCCGTTGAGGGTTGCTCAGAAAGTATAAGAAAGGATATCGATGCTACGATGGAACTACTAGAGTCTTTAAAACCTTATTGTCGAGGCGTTCGTAAAGCGGACTATACTGGGCCAATGTCAGAGATGACCTAATGACCATGTTAGGGAACTGTGTTTTGCCATCGCGGTGGCCTACGTGTTTTTCTAACTCTTAGTGCTGCTGACCCAATCTGTCCAGACTTCTTTCACGCCTGTGATCCAGCACTAAGGCTAGAAAAAGCTCGATCGTTGTCCAGTCAGCAAAGACGCAGGTATCTGACTGCAAATCCTGATATCACGGCTCGGCATTTGGATAGGCGATTCAGAGCATTTTTTGACAATATGCTTTGTGGCAAAGCGAAATCTCTAGATGATATAATTGGTTATTTCTGGCGCTTAGAATTTCAACAGCGGGGTTCTCCGCACATACACGCCTTGTTATGGGTCCGAGACGCCCCAGATGTACTGATACTGTCAGATCAGTGTTTGGGCGCACAAGGTTAGCTTCCTACATTGACAATATAGATTCCGTCTTGACGAAGAGTACTGCAGAGCTGAAAGTCTGTAAATGCAGAATTTGTGTAAGAGAACGTGAAGCAAATTTTGATATTCTTTCAGCTAGGCCACCCTCGCCGGGAAGGCCAGATTGGGATTGTGATCTAGCTCGTGTTGCAACAGCATGTTTGCTCGTCTCAGTCATCTTGTCAAAAATCAGGAAACGACTGTAGGTTTGGTTACCTATAGGACTTTCAAGAAAAAAA